CACAAAAATCACACGAATACTCTTGTAAATAAATTTTAACTCGGTGATAGGGTGTAGGCGTGTGGCAGCATCAAGGTCGCAAGGAGGTGTTCTGTAGTGAGGCTGTTGGACGCTTTTAATGGAGATTGACATTTGCCGTAGCTACGATTGGACAGTCTCACTTCCAAATGAACAAAATGTCAGGCCTCTTAAAATCACACTCGCCGTGTCCTGGGGGTCGTGGTGGCAACAACATACTCATGTCCAGACCAGTAACGCTGATGGAAAGCAAGCAATAACATCGCATCAGACCTGTAAATTTTGAAATTAGCCAAAAGTTTTACTACCAAAACGAATGCATTTTATGCACAAAGCGATTGTTGTGAGGGGATGTTGTACATGAACAGACGTTTTTATTTGCTACTTGATCAACATTTGTAAGTTCCAGCAGTTCTGTACAATTCCAAAACACACCTTTTTGTACGGACACATTGGAGTTCACCTTTTGAGCAATGAAATAATTTTGGTGTTGAGATGGGAAATGGAGGCAGACTGGGAATAAAACCTTGGTAGACTTTCAAACTATACAGTGAAAGAGATTTGAAAGTTAGATTTAAGCATTTCCTTCGCTTCGTACACCATCCACCTCAAGCATTCCAAGTAAAAGCAACAGAAAAGAGTACTTAGAAATTGTCAATGCAACAAAGTGCTTTGCATTTGCATTCCTAACCTATCTTTGAGACCACAAAAGAGGAGGTTTTGGTTTCTTTTCAGTCTAAAATGAAGTTGCTTATTCTTACAGGGTGGAGTTAGGGCGGGAGCGGGGGAGAGGACAAAGTGGGCATTTTTTGTGAGCAAAATCATAACACATAAATAAACACAGTTGGGTCGATAGTGTGGTGCGATAAAAAAAGGAGGGCTTCGGGTGTGAAACCAAAAGTCATGAAAAACAAAAAAACCCCAAGTCAACGCAACAGCGGATCGCACTTAAGGTGGTCATGTGTAACACCGTGGACAGCGCGTCCACAGCGAAGCTTCCTCGTCTCCTCTCAACATGACGTACGCCTTTACCCTCAATTTTAAGTGCTTCCTTCACCCGATTAGAGTGCGAGCTTTTGCTTACATTATTTAAAGCAAATTGTTAGTTAGAGGAAATGGGCGTGTGAGAATGCATTGAGGACATCGGACACACTGGGGGAGGTTTGCTAGTCACATTCAATCAATCTGCCCTGAGGGCAGCCTCATGACTCCATCTGCTACAGCCAGAGGAAGGTCATAGGCCAACTTTTATCTCTATTCTGCAACCTTATTACAAGTTAATTGCGGAATTTTTTTGGCATGATTTGCTGGTAGAAGAAAACAGACAGGTCCGAGATCCTCGCAGAGCAGTTTAAAACGATCCATAAACGAAATAGATGGGTTAACATCGATAGTAAGAGGAGTGATCCCCGGGTTACGCAATTCGTTTAATGGGTACTAAAATGTCTGACGAGATAGTGGGTTTGATGACCGCTTGCAAGGTCAAACGCTAGTATCTGCGGGCTTGAAAGGACGTAAATTTTCAAAATTTCTCAACGTGAGCCATCACGAACACTTCCTTGATGCGCCATCGAGATAGCGAACCATGGATCCGCTGTAAATTCACATTAATTACGAAATTTGGTTGAATGCATTGGAGGTTCGCCAAAGTCCAAAAATTACCGTGACACACTTTTGGTGGAGAGCAAAGTAGTAAAGTAGTAATGACTTGATAAAAATTACAATCTCGCTCCAAATTCCTTCGCACAGTGTAGTCAGAGGCAACACTAGCAAGACATTTGTGTCCTAATGCCATTGGGCAAAAGTTTAAAGAAATTCGAGATATAATACGACGAATTATTGCCAAGAGGTTAGGATAATTTTATGTCTAAGATCATACTACTAATAATTTATTTAAGTAGCAATCATATTTTTTATTACAGGTGCATTTGTTGGTTAAATGATAAGACAGATTAGGCTGACTTTGAGCCTCATAAAAAGATATAAGGTTTTTTTTTACTTAAAAGGTTTATATTTAAAAAAATTTACGGTGCAGCTTTACAAGCTAATTTGAAATTTAGGATGTCATTTAGGGCAATGCATGGCCGAAACTCCATTGAAAAAGAACAATCATACGTACAAAAAACTGCCTTATCTCCAACAATTTTAATGCACCATTTACCAAATTTAAAATGGTTACAAAGGCTGTGGATGGTTAAGTGAGTATTTAATTAGTTTTAATAGTATGATTTCTTATCTGCGTCAACTACGAAAGTGACCCATTAATTTGGGGTTCCACTTACGCTATAACTAAGTGCGGCAATAAAATTAAGCCAACAACGACTCACACATGATGAGAGCACAGACCACCCTGCCTCCCGCTTACTAACACAACCAAATGTCCACACAGCCTTTTGCGCGGTGGAAACCAGACGACATGCGTCAGAGCCTTTGTGCCACCAAACACACCGCCAATAACTGCCTTTGCTTGAATTAGCGAGTTCGCTTGTGCTGACAGAAAAGGCGATGAGAAGTTATAAATGCCAGGCGAGTTGAGTCAATGTGGACATGTGCGTGCGAGGCAGCATTAGTGCCTTTGGCCACACTTAGAATGAATAACTTTCCAAGGGATGCTCGAGTCTTTGGGAATTACGGACTCCGTTAATCGCCTCAAAGGCTGTCTGCGATTGTAAAATTGGTTATCAGTGTACTTTATTTTGCTTGAGTAGGACAAAAATAATTTGTGCAAAGTAATTGATTGGCAAGAGTTCGAGTGTTGGACCTAGTCGGTGCTTTAGAAATTGTGCATTTGGACTATGACTGAAGTTGTGTGTGCAATCTTGGAATCGTCTTCGTTAAACGCCCACTTGAGCGGCTTCTCAGGAGGCTGGCTTCCTCTGAGTGCCTTATTTTGGCATGTTAGGACACAAGTTAAGGGACAGGGTAAAGAGAGAAGGGCGGGGGAAGCTAATTTCTACCTTAGGGTCACGTCAACGTTCTCCCCCAGCCAGACATTCGAACTGAACTACCACCTCTGATCCGCGAGGGACATTTTAAACAACTCGTATGCTCTACCCACCTTAAAAAAGCATTCAATTATGCTAGTAGCGCTCCAGATACCACTCATCTAAAAAATTATAGACTTATAAATCAGGCTGCCTAATTGTTTTAACCTCCTCTGCACCCTCTAATATGCCTGAAGAATCACAATTGCAGAGAACTCTTTCCTTAGTGCTTGCGATAATTTGGGTGGAGTTAAATCATGATGCTTTGTTCCATTCATTTTGATCACTTAGGTTACCTGTAAGTTACACATGATTTGCAAAACACATTCTGCACACCACATGGGTCAAATTGATGCCCTTTTTAAATGAAGTTAGGTGCCCCATGGGGACGATCAAGGGTGGGAATATGGAGGCGCCTTCACTTGTTTACACACCATTAAGGACAACGCATATGAGGTGGGAGGTGGGTGTGGGGAGTGGGAGAGCTGTTCTAACTTTGTGCGTGTAGAGAATGCCGACGTGATACTCAGGTAGGAACCGCTGATGTCGCCCTCCCCAACCCTCCCCTGTCCCGTGCGCTGCGTACCTCTACGCCTCATGGAGCGTCCAGAGGAAGACAAACTCCCAAGAAGCCAGTCGAGTGGGACTTAGAAGGAATTTGCCTAGGAGATCGCATTGAGTGTGATCTAATTTTGCCAGTGAGGAAAATATTAATTTAAACTTCCCTTCAATCCAGCTTGACAATTGTTTACATAATAATTTAAAGGTGACAGTAAAAATCCTTTTTTTTTAAGCTTAAACATTTAGGTGTGCCTGATTGTAAATCTTGAAGTCTGTGTGCAATATCAGGACAAAGTCACAGTTGGCATAGTTTTGGGTAAAGGTAGGTAATCGCACATGCCAAAAGTATGCTAAACTAGGATTGGTGCCCATTGACACACAACTTTTCCCGTAAAAGTGAACTAACTGGAGGTCAACTTTACGTATTTTAACCTATCAATACGATTACTTGTGCTGTGTAGCGATAAGAATTTTAAGAAGACTAGCATTAGAGATAGGAGAAAAATTGGCTGACCGCCTTTTCGGAGGCCTTTCCACGAAGGCATTTTGAGGGGACCAACTTCACGAGTCCCCACGAGGACACCATGGAGAGGGGCTAAGTTGTCTCTCCCCGAGGCCCTCCAATGAAGGTGCGCCTTTCCGGCTTGAAAAGGTCAGTGACCGCATCAATCGATAGCACCCAAAGGCATGCAACTGTCCGGTCCAATGGTATCAAGCCTTGTTGTATTTTTTTTTTTTGTGCATTTAATACACTGCGATCTGTTGATCGAAAAATCGCGTTCCCGAACTAATTGCAGTAGAGAGCAGATTAAATCGTGCCTTCCAGGTCGGTGCAAAGTGGCGCCTAGAGAGTCTCCAGAATCGTACACATGCATTTGTCCACGCACCACCTACTTGAGTCGAAAATTTGACCATCGAATAAAGGGCCTTTTCCAAGTGAGCTGTGCCCCTTTACCCTACGACCCGTGCATGGCATGCCATGAGAGGAACACTGTAAGGTGTACTCAGACATCACCAACAGAGGCATCCTGTCAATGCTACTCGGAGTACAGCGCTGCCACCAAATGTCACAAGCAAAAGAACCCCTGTTTGGAAGTTCCATTAGGAGCCAGCCTTTCTGGTGCTGAAGCCTGCAAAACCGAGGAAGGTAACTTGTGCATCCCCAAGCTAGGCACAGAAAGGTATATTTGCGTGTGCCTTCGCCCATTTCAATCGTCAAAAGCCTACGCATTTCCTAACTGCCTTGGTGAACCTGAAAGGCTCTGCGATCGACAATTGTGCGTGGGTTTTCAACCCACCAGGCCCAGAGGTATAACCATCACTCCGCAACGTGTGATGCTTACAAAAGATCTGGATTTGACTGGCGAAGAGCATGCAATTTGCATTGGCAACGGATCTTGTCAGTGTCCCGACACTTGGTATGGTGAGCATTGCACACGCCAGAGGGGCAAACCACAGGAAAATTCATGGACTGCGTGGTCTCCATGTCATCCCGATTGCCTAGACACTAGCATCCTCTCAAGTGTAATGGGTGTCTCAGGTGTGGGTTATAAAGTTTCAAAGGCTCTCTGCACAACTCAGGAGAATCGTATTTGTGAAGGAAACTTTAGAACGTGGACTCGATGTAAAGTGACTTCACTGTGTACCGCTGAGAAGCAAAAGTCCCTCGCCTTTCCTCCTGATGTTGCAATGGCAGCTGCAAAGGTTCTCAAAGAGGGTTCTTATACGGTAAATGATGGTTTGAGTTTACTACTTTTCTGGACGCAATGGTTTATGTTGATCATTTATTTTAATGTGCGCCACATTATGAAATAGCTATGCGGCAGTGCCTTTCAACTTTGAAATGACTACTTACCTCGTCGGAAAGTACATCGTTGTCTTTTTAGAATTTAATGCATTTAAGAAAGCATGAAAACTAGTCACTAGAGCCTACAGACAAATAATGCCTATTTCTTCACATCTCCTACTGCCTCCAAACAAATGAGACAACCAAAACGAAGTTGCGCTTAACTTCAATTCAATATTTAGGTTGGAAAAAGATACTTTGTTCCTCTCACATCACCACCAGTCTTTTAGGTTGGTTAATCCAACTGTCGTAGTTAATTACCCCTCACAATTAAGCATAGCCATAAACACAGCCAGTATACGTATTAAATTGTGCTTGGAATGTGAACTAAATCATACAAATGCTACAGAGTTTTGATACTTCTTAAATAACTGTTTTCAGCGCGCGTCGGAGCAAGCCAATATGCCTGCTCCATTGCTTTGGAATGAAAAACAATACTTATTTGCAATATTCATCTCTGTCACCGCGATAGCTGCCGTCATTAGTATATGTATAGTGGAAATCATCGCTGCGATCCGAATGTCAAGCCCAAAAATTCAAAGGAATTCCGCCGGAGGTGTTGATCGCGAATGAGGCCAATTTTGACAATACGGTGCTACTTAAAAATATAAGTAGTTGTAGTTAGTGTTCGATTAATGCCTTTATTGTATTGATACAAATTATGAACGTTTTACAAAGAGCATCATAGATACAATTTATTTTTTTAAGATATCGGGACCTGGAAAAAGGGAATCATTCCAAAGTGGTGATTTGCGTATAATTTTTCAGGATTGATATTTGAAGATGACCCCTAAATCACTTCAGTTATTAAAACTCAAAGAAGCATTACTAGTGGACCTTTGAACTTTTTAACAGCATTTGCTGCAGCAGAACATGAATTCCCAGTTTTGATTTGAGACCGACATTTCCATTCTCAGTCAACATAAAACAAATCTGGAAAATTTCGTGGATCAAAGCAGTTAGGCGAAGAAGTAATGGGCGGCTAAACGGTTAACGATTTTTCAAGACTTGCGTAACTCATGTTATAATTACTAAACTCTTAGAACTGACGGCGTAATAGTATACAAATAGCAAGTACAAGCATTCTCTATGCAACCCTTTAAGAACTGACTACGCCAAGCAGGTTACTGAAAGACATTAATTGGATACTTGAAGGCAATGAAGTTTGTGTCTCCAAAAGTAAAAATCTAGCACCACATTTACTGTTGAAATTCTGCTGTCAAAAGCCACATCTCGATCGGGCCAAAACTCGAAATAACACGCTTATTTGGATGGTACGCCCTGAACTTATATGGTAACTGGGCTAGCCTAGGTAGACACATCGTATTCTGAGTGCGTACTGAGGTGG